TGTCTTAAAAGCTAGCATATACAGCAAGGGGAACTGTGACTTGAATTTATGCATTAATGTTTGGAAACTCTCAATCTGGACTGAGATCTGACAATCTGTACTACCTATGCTTTATTCAACACTTCATTCCTTTTGTTGGTGTTGGAGGTTATCCCGTGCCATTGAAGCTGCTGTTCTTTGCATGCATACTATGATTCCAAATGCTGCTTGCCAGTCTTCATTTTCTTTTGTTTCCTTTTTCTTTTCATTTGCTCCTAGCATATCATGCAGGTTCATACAATGTGTCCGGGCTTCTGTGCAAAATGCATGCGCTCAAGAGCGAGGCTGTTAGACTGCTGCTCTTGAATATGGCATAGCTCAGAGGAAGTTTATGACTCCTTGGTGAATGGCATCTGGAGATATGAAGTAGAATTTCCATCAGGGATTTGGTCCAACAACATTAGAACATATGGGATATGTTAGAACATGTTCTTCTGGTTATATTTTGGGTTGTGTCTGTTTTGCCTCAGATGAAATGGGTCAGCTCTACATGCAGTAATGGATACCCACTATGTGAGAGAGATCTCTCAAGTCATTTTTAGATATAAAAATGATAACATTCTGAAAATGTTGAATGACGGTTTCAATTTGGAAAGTGATGACTGAAAATGTCTTAAATGTCAGATTCTTTCCACAAAGAATGGCAATTCGTATTATCATGCCTTTGACAGCAAGTACATTAAAGTTTTAAGGTCTTGACACAATGCAAAGCATCACGGTTTTGTATTGTTCATGTCTGTGGCAATATATTTTAGTAACACTTTGTTTAATTCCAGCGCAGTACGTTTCCTACATTCAAAAACCTTTATGGGAATAGCCTGTCATTTATGAGATCCTGTTGCTTGCATTTTAAGCTCTTTGCAGTTTTTTGGCAGCTGAATTCTTTTCCCAGTCCTGTTAGTTCAATATAGGAATAGTGTCATTTCTTAGACAAGGGCAGTGTTTGAGCTGAACTGGAAAAACAGATTTCTTTTCATCATCCCCATGGAGTCAGCCGTTAAACTGGTAATGTCCTCCATCTCATTTACTGTCTTAATGCCATACCTTGAGGATGGATCAGTGAAAGCTGAAACCCGTTCAAATAGTATTTTGCCACTAAATTCTTTTCACCATTTCTTAATCCTCTGTGATAGAAAATGTAAGCATGATTAAACAGTGAGTAGTACTCAAAAAGAAAGCTGAAGCCAAAGTGGACCTTTGCTTCCTTTCTTGTTAGAAATACGGAATTTAGAAGAGTTGTACAAAAATGTAGATGTGTATCTATTTATTTTTCTGCTGTGAGTCTTGATTGCGTCTCCCATGTAGCCTGTATTATCATAGGTAATTGAGAGGACAGTGGCATCTAATTAAATCTGCAGTATGTGAAGTCGTATTTTTCTTCTCAAGCAATCTGTTTCAGAAATAGAAATGCATTGTGTCAGTGAGGTCTTCCAACAGTTTAAATGGCCCTTTACCCTTGCCTGGTAATTTTACATGCTGCCAATTAGTAAAATGAGATGGGATTTCCTTTCAGAGCCTCATGATTTTAATTGGAACTTCAGTACAAAAGAATAATTAATAACTTGTAGCCTGTCCAGCTAGTAAAGCTGTGTCTCAGATTAATGAACCATGTATTTTGCACATTGGTCTGTGAATTGAAAAATGGACTAGTTAAAAACTGGTTAGTTATTTCTCTAATTAATGTTGATCATTGCATGGAAGTATAGTGGCCATTGGAGATGAAGCTCCTGCTATTCATGATACTTGAGTATATGTGATTTTAAGTGGAGAGCAGCTTGGTCAACTTCAGGAAATGCTGAAGCCTATGTGTTAGGTTATTCTGGGTGCTTTCACAGATTAAAGCCAAGAAATGCTAACTTCTTTTTTCATTTGATGCATGTTCTTCTCCTTCACTTACTGAAGGGGCTATCAAATATTGGAAACAACCCTGAGTTATTCGAATATGATACAATTGTCTTACTCCAATTATAAACACTGTACTCCAGATATAAATATGATGATGAGCATACTCTAAAATAGGGAGCTATGCTTGTAACATATGCCAAAGATAACTATGTTGATCTGTCAGAATTTTATTTCACAGTATAAAATGTGACTTTCAGCTTTCTAAAAATTCCTATAAACTGTTTTGCCTCCCATGTTTTGCACATTCTCTTATTCCCTACCTGTTAATTTTCATGTAGAAATCTCTTCTACTAGAAATCTTTATCTTCTGGAATGTGTAACGAGTGCATGTATGTTGTTTTTCGTTTTTCTTGGTTGTTTTCTCTCTTAATCAGAAATAAGATTATATAGTGTACTGCATTGCAGTATTAATTATTTTTTCCACTTTATTTTTTATGTTTGCACTCCTGCTCATATACTGTGCCTTTGAATATAAAACCACTTTCTGTGAGTGTTTATGTGTTGACCACCTTAATAATAGTGAAAAGGAGATTATGCCTTTATGCCTGTAATTAATACATAAGCAGGAGTATCATTTAGGTTTTTATTTTATGAATGTGTTACATCCAGATTTTATTGTGTTAACAATAAATGGACTTGTAATAAGTAGTGCAATTTTGAATCTAGCCTTAGATAGAGAAAACCTGAAGCTTTTAAATTTTTACATAAATAAATTCAGAGTTTGGGTATATAATCTTCAAAGAGTGAGTCTCCCAGTGCATGGTTATAATTGCTTCAGTTCTGACTTACATGGGAGCCTCTTTCAGAGACATTCCGAGAATACAGTAGAAAGGCCTTCAAAAATATGTGAATAGTTTTAATGTAGAGCCTAATACTGCCTACTAATATAAGTATCTATGTACATTAGTGAAGATACAGTCAATGCATTCTCTTCCAGTAATATAAAATACATGCACGTGAATGTGTTTTAAAGATGGGAGCTACATTTTTTAGCATGGTGTGCTAAATGTCTTTTTGAAATATAGACTTTTAAATTCTGTTAGAATAGTAATGGAAGTACATGAGAACTAGATAAGAGAAACCTCTAGATACTAGTTAGCAAAAAATGTATATTGTTTTAATTGCTGATATTTTTTAACCATTGTGTAATGATTGAAAACCTGTAGGCTTATAATAACTATTAACAAAGTTGAAAGCAGAATTAGATTTAATAAGAAAATGTCAGTGGGTTGTTGTGAACCACAGTGGGAAATGTAGCAGAAGGAGCCTATTGTAAAATCAAGAGATCTGGTTCATTTTTCTGTTGCTAGTTTGATTTATCACATGCTGAAAAACTCATCAATGTATATATAAGCTTCAAAGCGCACTTGAAAGATGTTGTATTTAATGAGTTCTTAATGCATCACACTGAAGTTCTGTATAGAACAGCTCTCCTTGGTAGATTTGTTCCTGCATTCAGGTCACTGTGGTAACCCACCGATTTACTCGGGTATGTGCTAGCTTCAGGTAGGAGAACACATTAATGTCAGCCATGTGGGGTAGTGGCACCCTGCTTCTTGCATCTTTATCCAGCAGAATCATGTCCAACTATTTGATTATTATTATTATTTTTTAACCTATCTGCCAGTACCTTTGTGGCCAAATCCCAATGGTAAAGCTTGCCTTGAAAGTGCAGTACAGACCTGATCTCTGTTACCTACATGCCAGTATAAAACTAGAGATGAATGAAAGAATATTGGATATGAATGTAAAAAAGGAGAAGGCAACAGTTATTTTCAGTCCTGACTGTTCATTTATTTATGATGCATCTTCCTCCTCTTACTGTATCATTTCTCAGACCTAACAGTAGCCATTTGCAAAGTCATCAGTGGAGCCTAGTAAGTAGTAAGATAATCCTTAAAAGCTGGAATTACTTCTGTCTGAAGAATTAATGGAGTTCTGTGCCATTGTTGTAATCTTCAGTCAGTTCAAAATATGCAGAGCATTGCACAGAAAATTCATTTTGTATCATGGAGATATTTCCATCACAATTCAGTTTTACCCAATTTACAAGAAAATCAATTTATTTTTCAGTTCTCTATTATAGGGAAAGTTTGAATTTTTTTCAGTCAAAATTGATCTTTATAAACTGCTTTAAGCTTTGGTGGGTGCTTCGATGCTTTCATCCTTGACTCTGGGGAGGTTTGCCTGATTGGCTACCCCAGATCTCTAGGTTCTTTGGAAAGCTAATTACCATTACCACTCACGCTGAGATGTTCTAATGAAACAGAATAAAAGCTCTCCGTTTGACAGGAGGCAGACGCCAAGACTTGGGTATGCTAGACTATTTTATTTTTTTAATGAACAGTAAACTCCTTATTTTCTCTCTTTACTGAAGAATAACTGTATCTCAAAGTCCTATGAAAGTCTGATGTCAGTGTCCTTGAAGATACATGTCTTTGAAGAGGTAAACTAACCGGAAATGTCGTACTGCTAATAGTATGGGAAATTAAGAAAAGTTGCTCAGTAGTCATTAGGGAGATTAGTTTCAACACCAAGGAATTTTCAAGATCATATTTGTAACACATAAAAAATACGTTACGTTTCTAAGTCTAAGCAAGCGTCCAGGGAGTAGAGAGAAAGTTGACTCCAGTCGCATTTCTTTTTATATCTTGCCTAGTCTGAATATAATCTCCAGCTCACCAAACTTGACAGTGTCACAGTAAAAGAGGTAAAAATCTAACAGTTGCAAATCTCGAATGTAATCATCAGTGCTATTTCCTCAATGTTACATCATTCATAAGAATTCTTGATGTCATTAGCCTTTGAAAATATTTTTACATTAATTGGGAAACTTGATGATGAATGAGTCTTGTTGGCTTTTAATTTTGTCTTTTCAAAGGACAGCTGCTTTATTTATATGACAAACATTTTAGAATGGCACCTGTCTTTAATCTGTTTGTGCTGATAGTAGAGTGAGAGCCTGATGCATTATAGAGTCCCTACCCAACAGTAATGAAATTAATAGAGTTTTCTGATGTTCTCCTTTAATATTTACTCCTGTTTTCTCTCCTCAGCTTTCTCTGCTAGAAGATGCAGGGTTTGGTGGTGTTCTTCTTTATGTTGATCCTTGTGATTTACCAAAGACTACAGATCTTGCTGATAAAGCTTTTATGATTTCCTTGAATAGTGGAGGAGATCCATCGACACCTGGTTATGCCAGTATTGGTAAGTACTGTTTGAGGCATATTCAGTTAATGGACATTTTAATTGTGAGCAGATTCTAAGTATGGGAATTAAAACTCTAAACGAAATCTTACCTGAATGGAGACCTTTGATAAGGGAACATTGTGTAATGCAGCATGGCTCAAAAGTGCTTTACTCCAAACTCTTGGCACGAAGTCTGCACTTCAAGTAATTTATTTGTTTCTGTTTCAATTGATATATTTACATAGTATATTATTTGTCTGCTTATTTTTACTTTATTAAAAAAAAGAGCTGTGAATTACTTCTCGAGTGATATCTCAGCAAGTTCCATGGCACTTGTTCCTATTGAAAGAAGTATGTTTTCCCCCCAGTTTGTCTTACCCTTTCATGATATTGGTAACGGAAACATATGGTCAGTAAGTGCAAGTTCAATAGTCCAATGTAATAAGAGATATACATTTGAAAAGATTTTAAAACAACATTTATATCTCAGTACAATTACCACTTGAATTAAGATATTTTCTTTGAGTTCTGCTGGGGTAGACTTTTACCTCAAATGTTCATCAAATTAAATTTTCTTTAGATTTGGGGGGGGGGATAGGGAACTGGACAAACTGATCTTTTCAGAATTATTTAGTGTTTTTAAATGTTAAACATTTTGGTGGTTTTGTTGTTGTTTGGTTGGTTGGTTTTGTTGTGGTGTTTTTGTTTTTAACCACTCTGCTAAACAATAGGGTATAACTTATTTGACTAGTAAGCACTACTTTAATCTCCCTTCTGGCAGTTTAGTGGCTGTGTGTTCTGCCTGTCTGCTACCGGTTCAACTTTACAGTCTTTTTTACTATCTAACTATTTGGAAATGTATTCAGCAGAAGTCTATGAGTTTGTGACAAGGCTTTATCGAGAATATTTAGTCCAGTTACTTGCTCAGACATCTCAAGTTTGACTTGAATTGGCACAAAATTGGCTGATGCAATGCTGAGATACTTTAGGACTAGTATGGCAGAAAATAGAAATATTTGCCTGGTTGTCAAAGAAGGGTGTTAGCTATTCACAGCATGAATGCCTTGACAGCTCTGTGGGAAAGCAATTGCACATTTTCTTGGTGTCTCAGTGTACCTGACCTAGTCTTCTTAAAAGTGTCCTGGGAGATATGGAGGTAAAAGTAACAGTCTTCAAGCTTTATTCTTTGCTCATTTTGCAGAGCTATTTGAAAAATAGCTTTTTGTTTATCTACGTGGCTAACTCCTTAATGTTTTATTTACCCTACATGAAAAGAAAAGCTAATTAAAACAGATACAGCAGCATGAAGATGCCACTTCAGTGTCTAAACACTTATGCATTAGTTTGCTGTCAGTAAATTGTCTTACTGACTGCATGCATTTCAGCCTGTACTGTGAGAAAAAGAAGGTTGATTATATAGAAAATGATATTTTTATAAGTGCATTATCAGTTTTCCACTAGAACCCTTAACATGGCTTATCTGTGATTTTAAATCTCTGACCACTATTCACAAGCAGGAGTAGGCTGTCAGGTTCCTATAATCATTTCTGTTTTGGTCATTGACTGCAATAATGTGCTGGAAAAACCTCAAAGGTATACTTGGAGAAGGTGGTTGTTGTTGTTGTTTGTTTCTTTTTCAGTAATGTCACTGGAAGGTAGATCAGGTGGAAGTAATTTGTCTTTTCTAGTGATGATTTTCTTCACTGAATAAATTTGGTTAGAGGTAACGTAAGCCTGGGACAAATACAAATAATCTGGAGCACAGACTTTTGCCTGAAGGATGTGATGGCCTGTGAGGTGGTTAAACAGGCAACATGCAGTTTGAAAGTGCCAGATACCCGGGGTTGCCCATCTCACTTTGATTCACAGAGTTTAATGTGCACTACAAGAAATTTTATTGGAAGCTCCTGTTTAAGTTATTGGCACGCCTTTGATACCATCTGCAGTTCACATATTGCCAAACTGTTACTATTCAATCCTGGGGACTGCTCTAACGCCATGCTCTCTTTTATTAAAAGTAGCTAGTAATATAAGCATTAGTTAGTGGATGAGTCATTCTCTGTGATAACCATCAGTTTACTAAATAACAATATAAATAAACAGTCCTGTGCTAGGTGAATGAAATGCATGAGACTTGTGCTTCTGTACTTCTACCTTGTTTCTCAAATTTTTGTAATCAGAAAACAAATTTTTCTGTGACTTCAGAATATTGGACTTCAATCTTTTTTCCTAGAAAAAAAAATCTTCAGAACGTGATAAAGCTTGGAGAGATCTCTACTTAAAGTTAAGAATGTTTTTAAATGGAGTTTGTTTAATAATTCAGAGAAGACTTTGGACCTTCCATAGTTTAGAAGGTTTAGTGAAGATGAAACGCTGTGCTGCTCCATCTGGATTATTTTAGGATGCACAGAAATAGCTGGATGGTGGGTTAGAGATTAATACTGCATATGAATTGAATGATTTCTTTGATCTCTGTTTGATAAACAGAAAACAATACTGATATGAAAAATGAAAAGAATTTATGTAAAAGATTCTGCAGCCTTGTTTGGTAATTTGATTCTCTTGTTCTTAAGACTCTCCCAGTCCTATGAATTTTAAAACAATCACATGAGCATTTGTTAGCATCATTCTCTCTTCCACTGACACTGATTTCCAAAGGCTTGTGCCCTCCATTTTAAGAAATCTTTCTTCTGTTTTGCTGCTTTTGAAATGAAACTGTTCTATAGCTGAAACTCAGGAAATTATTCATACATGAATGAGCTTGAAAGGGAGGTGAGACCTGCAAAGTAAAAAGTATCCTCAAAACAAAGGTTAGAGGAGTGGCATAAAACTTCGGTGACTTTCACCACCTCCATTTTTTACATCTATTTTGATTTTCTTAATGCTGCAGTTCCTTTCATCTACCTGTGTATGGCAGAGACGCATTAGGTTTCTTCATTTCTGTATTTAAGAATCATTTTAAATCAAAGTTTCCGCACAGAAAGTGATTCAGTAAACAAAAATATGGATAGAACATATTTGTCTGTCCTGATATGTAAATAGAACTGTGTCCCTGTGATGAGCATTAAGAGCCCTTTCCCTGACATAAAGTGCTATATAACAGAAGATCCCTATCGGTGTAGCTATGGAATAGAAATTATTTCAGGAAGAATTCCATTACTAGTGTTTCAAGTATCTTGTAGTTTTAGAGATCTATTAGGTAGAAATTATAACAGAAAGGCAAACGGTATAATTAAAAATCAGTATTTGGTATTAGTCAATGCTTCAAGTCACTGTAAACATCTTGTCATGTGAGCAACAATCCGGAGACTAAGTAGAAAGAATAATTATTACATATGGGGAAATACATAGTGTAGTTAAAATTCTGAATTGTGAACTTCACATTCAGGCTAGGTAATTACTGTGAGTGTTCCTCAGACATCTCTAATATGGTCTGACTGAGTAGAGGACAAGTGATAGGGAATCAGTGGATTCTTGATCCCATGCTTCAGGGTTAGAATGGGACCTTGAGAAAACTGATCTAGTGTCAGGTGTTGGAGACAGATTCGGGTATAGGTGGTCTTTAGAGGTTCCTTCCAACCCAAAGCATTCTTATGATTTTGTTCATCATTATGTGCACTCATTTCTAGTAAAAGACAATATTCAATATGCTTAATGGCTGTCTTTTTAATGTTGTGAAGTAACAAAGATTGTTTTTCTGTGATGTACTTTAAAAACATTCACAGAATTCAGAGTGGATAAAAGGTCAAGAACAAACCCCTGATGCAGAATTGAGGTTGGGAGATGTAAGCTTCCCAGGTCAGTCAGGAGAACAGTTCCACACAAAATAAGTTGTTAGAAGAATAATTTCACTTTATAATGAAGGGGAAAATCATGTTGTAGTTCAGCTTTAGAAGTGCTGTGATGTCTGGAAAAGGCAGTGAATATGGTGAGGTGCTACACTAATTGGGCAAGTAATGTTTATTAAGATAATTGTTCAGCAGAAACTGAGTAAAATAAATTGTGCTAGTTGTTTGAGCAATCATTCAGAATACTCAGAGGATGGGATTTCACATTCTTAAAATGAAAATCTGAACTATGTGCATTGGGTGCAACTGGCAAGGGGATTTGGGGAAGAAGACTCAGGTTCACATGGCAGTCTTGGTGAAATGAGGTCAAGGGCTGCCCTCTACCAGACACAGCTCATTCCAGCTGGCACCTCCACAGCTCCTGCATGCCACAGCTGAGCCCATCTGTGATCTTGGTAGCGTCTCTGTGAAACCGTATTTGATACTGATATTTTACTGCAGAAGTTAAAGAACAATAAATATGCATCAAAAAGCTCTTGGCATTTTGCTGTTTTGTAGTGCGTCATATTAATTGATCCAGTTCTTCTATAGTGAACACAGGGAACTATTTGGAATACAAGTTAGTATATGCTGTGACAGAAATGTGTCTTTAGTCAGCCTTATGATTCTGTATATTTGTGTCCTTCCTACCTTTTATCTAAGTTTGTCCTCAGTGTCCTCTACTTTGAGATATTTTACTCCTCTGAAACAGCCAACTGCATTAAAGTTAACAAAAAGTGGAACGTTCTGTGACAATTTTCTCCATGCATATGCAACAAATGTTCTAAAATGTCGTATTGTAAATCATTATGATTTCTTACAAGATGTCCTCAGCCTTTGTTTGTCTGTTGTTTTAAAAGTCAAAACTCCGATACAGGATAGTTTTTCTATGTATGCCTTTGGAACTGTGGAAGTGGCCTGGGGAATCCATTTATTTTTTTCTTCCAAATTTTATGTTCACTTTCTGCTAATGATATTAGATGAGTGAAATATGTAGGTAACTAGAAGTGGAGGTTCAGAATGACAGTCGACATTAAGAGGATTAAGGATGCTGGGTTTGTTTCGTTTTCCTTAAGGGCAGGCTGAAGCTAGGAAAAAAGGAAAGTTTGCAGCCCCATCTTTTAATTTCAGGATGCGTGTGTATGTTTACATATGTGCTTGATCAAATTATTTTGTTTATGACATAATGTT